GTAGTAGTGCTAGTTGTTTTTGTTTCTCTGTTTCCTTTGTTTTTATGACTTCTTAACTTTTTTCTTTGTCCTGAGGAAGGGACAGGTCGTCCCAAAAATTTGACCATTTTTATTGTTCGTGTCATTGGTCATTTTTAGTGATATATATATATATATATATATATATATATAAAATACATATACTCCATTCCTTGATACCGGTGGTTCTACGGTACCGGGGTATCCCTTTATCTATAAATTCACTCGCTAAAGGTGACACCTAGTGGCTGGATATTCTTAGAAAAGATTGGTGATACCTCGTTGACATTACTATTGCTTTAGATCTTAAAATGTTGCAAATTCTGGTAAGTTATCAAAAGCTACATTTTTAAACTTTACCTGTAACAGTCCTCATACCCTGCACTGAAAAATGTAACAGTCAATTTATAGGCGCATTTTACAACTGATTGGCATATTTTTGTTGTCGTCTGGTTTATTTACATTAGGAATGGGGTCATATGTTATGTGACCACTGTGGAAAAGTTATGTATGGAACCCAGTTTCAGCAAGATTTATATAACCCAATGAAAGAGTCAAAACTATTTTTTAGATGACTGCAGATAAGCATGAAGATTTTTTTTTAAACCTGACTTATCCTCTAATTATATTTTTCATTATTTCTTATCTGATAAAAAAAATAGCTATCTTCTGTTTTAAGGGTGCAGCCAAAAAAAAAAAATAATAAGTAAATAAAAAGAATTAAAATAAAAATACAATAGCCAAAATCTGAAAATTCAAAAAAGGCATATAATGCTATTTTTAAAGGAGTGTCGGGCAACAAATGAAAACTCGGCATCGAGAGCTTTAACCCCAAGTTAAAAAAAAAAAAATAAAAATCCAAGATATCGGAGCAAATCCTAAATGACAATAGATAAGTAACATTAACAAGAGGCCCACGGGCCTTATAGGTCACCTGAGTATCATGCAACAACTTCGCCACAATGGATTCATGTTTTAAACCAGAGGCCATGAAATTCACAATTTCGAAAGAGGCACACTTGCTCATCATAATTTTACATTTAGTAAGCTTACTTAATACCCAGAAAGAGAGCAGAGGATTATCAATGAATTAATGCATTTTCACTATGTAATCATTAGAGCCCTGCCCTAACACCAGAACCATGATGCAGGGGCCATAAAATTCACAATTTTGGAAGAGGCATCCTTACATATCATAACAATACTCTTAGTTCATCAGCTTAATACCCAGGAGAAAAGAAGAAGATTTTCAAAGAATTATTGCATTTTTACTATGTAATCATTAGAGCCCCACCCTAACACCAGAACCCCTGACCCAGGGGCCATGAAATTCATAATTTTGGAAGAGGCACCTTTACTCATCATAACTATGCATCAGTTTGTTTGTTAAATACCCAGGATCAAAGAAAAAGATTTTTAAAGAAATAATGCATTATCACTATATATTCAACAGAGCCCCACCCTAACCCCAGAACCCCTGACCTAGGGGCCATGAATTTCACAATATTGGAACAGGCACCCTTACATATCATAACTATACTCTTAGTTCATCGGCTTATTACCCAGGAGAAAAGGAGAAGATTGTCAAAGAATTATTGCATTTTTACTATGTAATCATTAGAGCCCCGCCCTAAAACCAGAACCCCTGACCAGGGGGCCATGAAATTCACAACATAGGAATAGGCACCCTTATTCATCATAACTATGCCTTCAGTTTGTTTGCCCTGGATCAGAGAAGATTTTTAAAAGAAATTATGCATTTTCACTATACATGTATATTCAACAGAACGCTGCCCTAACACCAGAACCCCTGACCCTGGGGCCATGCAATTCACAATTTTGGAAGAGGCACCTTTCATCATCATAACTATGTATTTATTTTGTTTTCATAATATCCAAGAGCACAGAAGAAGCTTTTTAAAGAAATAATGCATTATCACTATATATTCAACAGAGCCCCACCCTAACACCAGAACCCCTGGCCCTTGGGCCATGAAATTCACAATTTTGGAAGAGGCACTCTTTCTCATCATAACTATGTACTTAGTTCATCGGCTTAGTACCCAGGAGCAGAGGAGAAGATTTTTGAATAATTAATGCATTTTCACTATATAATCATTAGATACCTGCCCTAACACCAGAACCCCTGACCCAGGGGCCATGAAATTCACAATTTTAGAAGAGATACCTTTCCTCATCATAACTATGCATATTGTTTGTTTCCTAAATACCGAAGAGCAGAGGAGAAGATTTTTTAAGAATAATGCTTTTCACTACATATTCAACAGAGCCCCACCCTAGCACCAGAACCCCTGACCCTGGGGCCATAAATTTCACAATTTAGGTAGAGGGCTCAATGCTTATTACATTCATGCCAACAGTTTGCCTGCTTGATGCCCAGGAGTAAAGAAGAAGATTTTTAAAGATTGCATTAATTCTGATGGTTTTAGCCCCACCCCTCAGGCCCCTCCCCTTCACATATAGATGCTATGTGCCAAATTTGGTTGAAATTGGTTCAGTGGTTCCAGAGAAGAAGCTGAAAATGTTCAAATGTTAATGCACGACGGACGACGGACGACGCACGCCGACGGACGAAAACAGATAGCAATAGGTCACCTGAGTAAACTCAGGTGACCTAAAAATTATATCCAAACGTGAAATGGGGTGCAATTTGTATTGATTATGGTGAAATTTAACATTCGGAAATTGGAAATTATGATGATGTGTATGTAGACTGCGTGCGCCAAAGGAGCCAAGAATGATTACTTTTTGTTAAATTGGAAAAGAGTTATTTGTGTGGACATTGTGTGGACTCTGCTGTAAAGTAAAGGAGATGAAAGAATGAGGTTCTTTTAAGTGTTTCTTAACTAGAAAACTGACCAGTCAGCAAGGGCCCCGCCGAGGGGTAGAAATATAAGAGTGCAGCTTATTTTAATTGATTAGAAAAATTTAAAAATATATGAAGAATATGCAATAACAACTTTATTTATAAAATTTCAAGATAATTCCTAAATATCCAACAACCTGTAAAGAGTATCCCTGTATTTACATAAGGCAGTGAAAAACATAATATCTATAATAACTCAATTAAATGTATATTCAAACAAGAATAAAGCATGTGTTTTCAAATATCACCAAGTCTTGACCTTAACTTCAAAACAAACATCAGTTGCAGACAAAGGTTAATTTATCTTAAAGTGACAAATAAAGATAAGCCTGGAAAATTTTCTGCCCAAGACAAGATAATTAATCCCAAGGGATTAATTGTACTGCTCTCTTATCCTTTTCTTCCAAGTTTACAATAAGAACTCTTTCAGTAATGATAGAATGAGTTTATTATTGGACTACCCATTAAAATTAATAGTATTCTTGAATTTACATACGGCAGCCAAAAAAAAAAAATGAATAAATAAATAAATAAAAACAAAAAAATAAAAAATATATCTTTATGTATATCTTGTTTTTAGAATTCAATAAAATCATAACTCATTGTATATTCTACCAATATAAAGTATGAACATTATTTAAATCCACATTTCAGAGAATGTAAACATCATTCAGAATTGACCTTAACTTCAAAACAAACTTCATTTTCAGACAGAGGTGTTAATTAATCTCAATTTGACAGAAACAGATAATGCTTTGGATTCTCTTCAAGAGGAAAGTTAATTAATCCCATGGGACAAGTTGCAGCTTTCATAGTTTACAATTGGAACATTCTCAGCAGTTATCTCTCTTTGCCCTGGCATTCATTCTAATGTAAAGTTTAGGAATCTACCCCACCACCCCAGCTCCAAACTGGATGACATAGAGAACCAAACTTAGCATCAAAATATGTCTTACTGCCTCTTCAATCAACATACCAAATTTGAACTTAATTGGTCAGCTACAAAAAAAGTTATTAGAAAAAAACAGAAAATTTGTGGACGGAAGAATGACAGACGGACAGACAGACAGAGTGATTACTATAGGGCACCCGCAAATCCTTGCGGGGCCCTAATTATGAAAAGAAAATCAGTTTCTTGAATTTGTGAAATAAAGTATTTCACAAATGATTTTTTTTAATCAGAATATTGTTTTTTTCCCCTTAACTTTCTGAAAAAAATGCACTTCAAAGATAACTAATCTCAAAATGATTTACATTTTAAATAACTTAATTTATTCACTGAATTTTATGACAAAATTTTGCTTAATTGTATCGCTGGTAGCGCACCATACATATACACCGGTATCACAGTAACCTCCCTTGACACTAGAAACTTACGTGCAGTATACTTTTCATGTGTATTTCAAGATTTAGCGAGTAAACAAAACCATTTCAAGCTGATACATTATTGAAACACATGTTTTATTGTTGATGACTGACATTTATTGTTTACAATTATAAGTATTTAGTTTTGTTTTCAACCTTCATCAATAAGTACACCGGTACCGTAGAACCCTGGCATATATAATTTAATCATGGTAAATATGTCACAAATAAGACCAGATTTCTACTTTCAGATTTTCACATGTTGGGGGTTGGCAGGTATGATCAGTAAGGCACACCTTGTTACAGACATGTTTACCCAAATTGTTGTCTCTCAGTATTTTTCATTAGATTTGTCAGTGAGATTTGGCATTTGCCCGTAAGATTTCACTTTTCATCGACTGTACATATATTACTAGAAAACAACTATATTTCTGATTACCAAAACATGGTTTAATAACAAAGCAAAACATCATACACTGCTCTCTTTTGAGTGATTTCTGTCATTTTTTAAATTACCGCGTTTTGACAACTTAAATGTTTGAAAATTTTCTCTTCTTTAGCGATTAAAAAGCGTCAAACTGAGACAGATAACGAAAACTAGTTGCTAAAATCCATATGAACGAATTTCCGTATTTTCGTTATAGCAAACAGGTCTGTTTTAAGAGTAAACAGGTCTGTTGTTAGTTGAATCATGTGCCTAGATAAAAATATTATGAATTTTTTTTGTTACCTGAGACCCTTCTGGTGTCACCTGATGTATCAACTGTGTATCAATCCGACAGGCTCGATCATGAAACTTTTTTGTTTCGTCACCTTTGTAATAGGAGTTTATGTCTAGGAACAAAAGATAAAACATATGTTGATGCACTCTATCAATGAGTAAATGCAAAAAATATTTTGAATAAATCCTTAAACTAAATGTAGCAAAAAAAAAATTAAACTTGATATCAAAATACTTTAATCTAAATAATTATAATTTAAACTAGAAATCTGACCAGTCAGCAAGGACCCTGCCCAGGGATAGAAATATAAGGGTGCAGATTAGGGGATGAGAATTTTACTTGATTCCAAAAAAATTCAAAAAATATAAAGAATAAGCAACAGCAACTGCTAAATATCCAACAATCTGTAAATAGTATCCTTGTATTTACATAAGGCAGTAAAAAACATCATATCTATAATAACTCAATTAAATGTGTATTTAAAAATGAATGAAACATTTTTTTTCTAAAATGCCAGCCTTCGGTGAATGCAAATATCACCCAGGCTTGACCTTAACTTCAAAACAAATATCAGTTGCAGACAAAGGTGTTAATTAATCTTAAAGTGACAGAAAAATAACCCTCTAAAATATTCTGCAAACCAGCAAGATAATCAAACCCACGGGATTAATTATACTGCTCTCTCAACCTTTTCTTCTAAGTTTACAATAAGAACTTTTTCAGCAATGATAGAATGAGGTTATTATCTGAATACCTGTTAAAATAATTAGTACTAGATGAAATCCCATGCAAGCGCGGGAAATTGAATATATACCAAGTGCTACCGATAGAAAATATATTGTAATTTGTACTGACAGCCTACAGACCTATAGAAGGAAGAAATACTTTGTTCAAAATCCCACATGAAGTAGATGTATGTCTCCTCACACACCCCTTTTTTGTAAAAACTTGAAAAATAACAATTTCATTGTAACTGACGTCTATTGTGAAACCTGTTATACTATGTTATGGATATTGTACTCCAGATGCTCTTATTTCATTTCTGGTGAATGATAAAAGCAGCGAATATGTACATTTTACTGATAAATTGATTTTGGGGGGGGGGGGGGGGGGGTCCACAGGTTCTTGGGTCTTGGTTCATAAATATGTATGTACCTTATTGATTTGTAAAAAATGAACTTTACTTTTTTTTTAATATTAATAAGGTACATACATATTTATAAACCAAGACCCAAGTACCCGTGTAAAAATTAGCTTTTAACGCCCTAGCTATGAAAAGGCCGAGTATTTGATACAAAAGACTGTATTCAGAAAAAAAAATGAAATATTTGGATTAAAGCACAAAATTCCACAGCTTTAATGGTATTTGAAGAATACCTTATTCATTAATTTTCTCTCTTCATGTAAGCAAGTTTAATAAGAAGTACAAACTGTACCTCGGGTTCGTTGCCACGATGCTCTCAGTAAGGAATATATACAGATTTTACCGAAAAATTTATCAGAAAAACCTACTGCATATATATGTAATAGCCTTTCGATATATAAATATTCACAACTTATAGTGTTATCGATGAATTAACATTTTTTCGATGAACAATCACACAAAAGCTTTTTTAATGCTATAATCTCCCGTTTTTCTTTTAACATCGGGCTCGATGCTGTTTGTTGTTCTAGAAGCTTCCGTCAATATTAAGATCGGTGAATGACGAAAATAATTTGCACATTTCCCTTTTCGATCGGTTATCACAACTTCTTTCTTTTATATCATTTAAATTAAGTTTTGATTGAATAATTCAGTGATGATGTTTTATGAAATAAATAAATGATTGCTTGTTGTCAGTTTCATTAAAAATTGCCAGTAACTTAGATCCGCAAACCGCAAACCGGAAACGCCACCATACTAACCTTTTTGCTATTTCATAATTGTTTATAGAAAATGAAAGTAGACTTTTAATTTAATGTACGATACTTACTATGCAAGTGAAATCTAAATATAGTTTACAGACATCATCTTGTATCTAGTGTATTGTTAGAGGAATAAGTAAGAACCCTGGTGCAACCGTTTCGGAGTTTATTTGCAAAATTTATTAATTTATAAGTATAGATTCTTGAATTTACATAAGGCAGAAAAAAAGAAAATAATAATAAAAACGATATCTTTATCTATATCTTGTTTTTAGAATTCAATAGAATCATAACTCATTGTGTATTTTAACAAAATAAAGTATGAACATTATTTAAATCCACATTTCAGAGAATGTAAACATCATTCAGAATTGACCTTAACTTCAAAACAAACTTAGCATCAAAATATGTCTTACTGCCTACTCAACCAACATACCAAATTTGAACTTAATTGGTCAACCCTAAAAAAAGTTATTAGAAAAAAACAGAAAATTTGTGGATGGAAGAATGACAGATGGACAGACAGAGTGATTACTATAGGGCACCCCCAAATCCTTGCGGGGCCCTAATAACATATATTGGGTTATCTCAAACATCAACATCTCAAGCACTATAGGTATCTCAAAGTCCGTTGGAGGTCCCAACTACTTTTTCTGTATGTATTTTATGCCCTGTTTAATTTGAATTAAATGCAAGTTACTGTGAATAAAATCTGAGCTGCATTCAAATGGAGAATATAATGCAAATTAATTTAATTCAAGTTAATTTACTGCACATCAAATTACTTCACATAAGCTCCATATGAATGCTAAGCGAAGCTATAGTTATGAGCTAGTTATGAGCCGCACAGGATTTTTCCATACTTGGCCATAGCATCTTAATCAAAGGTCATAGTGACGAACTTTTAATGTGTGACACAACTCATACCCAAGAAGTATCAGCTGACAAAGTTTGATAATTCTTGGCCTAATAGTATTAAAGTTAAGATCCGGACATGAAAAAGCTAACAGACAGACAGACGGATGGACATGAACGCCATAACATAATACGGGATATAGTATTATGGGCGTATAAAAATCTCAAAATTTACAAACGTCCTAAGGGCCTAGAATCACTCTTCCGATAAATTGTACAACCCTATCACTTCTCTTCTATGCCTCTTGGTACCCTAAATATTTAGATAAAACCTTGAAATCCAAAAGAAGGTCAAAGTGGCCTACTTTTTACTTAACACACTCTGAGGACCCAAGATGCATCAACGGGCAAAGTTTGATGATTCTAAGCCTTTCTTGTCTGAAATATTTAGATAAAGCCATGAAATTCCAAAAGGAGATCACAGTGTCCTACTTTTTCGTTGACACAAAAGGACCCAATGAGTCAACTAGCAAAGTTTGATGATTCTAAGTCTCTTAAAATCCTAAATATTGAGATGCAACTATTAAATTCCAAATTCACTTGACCTAATTAGTCTGATGATGCAGGATGCATCAACTGATTTTAAGCTTCTTATCATCTGAGATATTGAGACAAGTGTGAAATTCCAAAAATAGGTCACAGTGACCTACATTTTGGTTGAAAGTTTTCAAGGACCCATGATGTATCAACTGTCAAAGTTTGATAATAAAGTGCCCCGCCACAGCATGATACACCCGTCAAATATTGTTCAATTGTCATAAACAGTTTAGAGTGCAAGAAAATCATGTCAACCTTGATACAAGGATTTCCATGATTTTTCCATTCCTTATAATATTTGTTTATACATCTCCTGTGGTGTACGCATTAATTTTAATTTAACAAATATTACATTATAGATCCTCAACTGGTTGTGTTAGAGCTTGACAAATGCCCATCTGCAGCCCCCCCCCCCCCCCCCCCCACACACACACACACACATACATCTTTCATATTTGTGAGACATGATGCTCTAGTTGATATTTTCAAAAAATATAAAAATATCATATTAGCAATATCAATTTAGTCTTAACAACTTAATCTATACCAAATTAATTCTGAAAATAAAAAGGCTGGCCATCAAATGACATACCAGTATGCTATAAACTGACCAGCAGTTCTTCTGTCTAATTCCCAAGGGATACAGATAAGAGCTGCTTGATCAGAGATGCTTTAACAGAAATGATTGAGACAGCTAGCCTTCCTTCATTGAACTCATTAATCTTTAACTGGATGCATGTCCACTCATTACTCCCAAGGGATGAATGGATCTGCACTATTTGCTTTGTAGTGCAATAAAAATGCATATTTATGTCATCCTGAAGTTAAATTTGAAAACAAAGATTTTTTTAAAATTTGTAACAAAGATTTCTAAAAAGAAAAAAAAAACTTGTGTCATCTTGAAGCAACATTATTAATAAAGTTCCTGCATGACTCTTAGATTTGTAGTGGCTATCTACCATAATTAAAACATTTTTTTAAATACTTGATTTTTTTAGATTTAATGTCGGACTAGCTGGTTTTAAGCTGCTATTCATACGGACAATGGGCATGCTGATTTCAATATTACCCCCCCCCCCCCCCCCCCCCCCCGTATAATAAGTTTTTATTAATTAGTTGATAAAAATATCAACAAATTTTATTATTATGCAATATCAAATTAGTTTTAATTACTTTTCACCAAATTCATTTTAAAAGTTAGGCTAGCCAACAAGAACTACATGTATTTAATCCAACATTTGCCCAGTTCCCAAGAGATATAGATAACACCTGCTTGATCAGAGATGCTCTACCAGTTAGCTCCTCACACTATACTCATTAATTTCTCTCTAATTTGACATGCAATTTTCTGTTATCAAAATTCTGCTTGACCAGTGCTTGATAATTAAACCCATGGGAGAGATGGAATTTCTCTTATATTACATTTGCTATAGATTGCTGTAAAGTATATAATGAAAAAAATAAGTATGTTCTTGATTTAACATTTTTTTAATATGGATACTGTAACACTCTAATATTTTTGGGAATTGTGTAATTTAATAGTAAAAAGACATATTTTTTTTAAAAATTTCACTTAAATTAAAGGTCACAGTGACCTTGAAATAGGTCGGGACACACCTTCTACCTAAGATGCATAAATTGGCCAAGTATGATGACTCTAAGTCTAACAGTTTTCTAGTTATGAGCCAGACAGGATTTTTCCATATTTGGCCATAACATCTTAATTAAAGGTCAGAGTGACCTACTTTTAATGCG